CGTATATACATAATTACAGTGCTACAGTGCTATCCTCATTTTCTCACAATGCTGCATCAAACGTCGTAATTTCACTGTAACTACAAATTACATGAGGCATGCATGATAATAATTTAAGGTACCAATAAATTATACCAGAATTGGATGGACACTGAGCAATAATCATGGAATTTGAGGGGATGTTTTTGGAGACTTAAAATAATAGACCTCTTAATCTCTTGATCATTACATCATAATGAATTTTATCAAAAATTCAAATATTGGAAAGACCACACAAGTCTAGGTGAACTAATATATTCACCATCGTTTTCTATATAATCTAACAATCAATTCATGAATTTGTCTTTTGTGCCATTCGATTCGAAATACTTTTTAAGGCTTGTTTCCATCTTCTTTTTCCAACTAAAAAGTGACCTAGCTTACTGAACAAATGGGAATCAAAAGGAGTAATGTCAAGACTGCAAGGTAGACAAAGTAGGACTTCTCAGCAAAATTCATTTATTTTTTGCCGTGTATTTTTCGAAGTATGCACTCTTGAATTATCAAGTCGGGGGAGAGTACCTTTTCTGTTAGCTACTGCGGGCAATTTCGATGAAATTTAGCCTTAAAGATGAGTTGGCTCGCAAAAGACATCTAGGATGGCAATATGGATATGAATTCATAATAAATTATCCCTTTTATTTATCGCGATATACCTTTCTTATCATCGATAATGGGTTCAGAGCTTTGGGTTTAGAGGTTGTTTCTGCTATATAAATATAAAATTAAAATTATTGTGGAGTATATAATTTCTATCACCGATGATAATTCTGTCTCCTCCAAAAATAGCTCCTCAGCTTGATTTCATTTCCCAGTAGTATACAGGTGAAGGAATATCATTTTTCTAATATAACGTGCTTTATTCAGAGATTTCATGCAATGTTTGTTTTCAATCGGTATCGTCTGTGGAATTCTAGGTGTTCTATAAATTGAAATTACCATTTCTATCAATTTTCGAAAACTACCTCTGACACATCCTCATATTCAGTACTTTCTGGATATACTTCCTTTATTATACTGCTATTTGCTATTTCTCTCCTTCAATTTTTTTTTTTTAGCAAATTCGTGGAGTATGCAACTTTGCAAATATTTATATCTTATATCAATTATTGCTACTGAACGACGCGATGAATTTTCACCAACCTCAGGTAAATGAAGCGCATAATGTCACAATACTATGTAAATTTCAGAATTATTTGTACTTCTTCTATGTGATGGGGCAAATTTCTTTAAATAAAAATTCACTTCAGAAAATGCACTGATAATGATTAGCAAATGAAAGTAGAATATGAGAAATGATGAAAAATTTTAGAAAAAAGGAGAAAGATTCTATTTTATTTATTATTATTTTGGAATCTGTTTTTAGGATTGTCTGCGATTTATTAAATGTTAAAATCTAGACAAAGTTTTTTTTAAAATATCGACAAAATAACCACGCATTTAAAGACTGAAAATAGCCATCAGATAACTTTATTTATTAAGACATCGAAATATAGAAAACAAATTAAGTAATCGTTACTTAGTTGCCAAAAACATAAGCCAACATTTTTAAAACTAAAACAAAATTGAATTTTGGTTTTTTTTTTTTTTTGCTAAATTTGTTTTTCACATAAAATGAAAAATAAGCAAAATGTCTCAATATTTTTCCATAAAATATAGACTTTAATCAATAAAATGGGAACAATAAAAAAAGAAAATTCCTCAATATCAATCTGATTGCCTTAGTGGATAAATATTTTCTATGATATGCTAGGAATGCTAACCGAAAATTTATTAACCAGTTAAATCACTGAACTGATAAGTTGTAAAAATTAAGATCAAATAAATAAGATAATTTTAAAAAAATTGATTGATATTATCAATGATTAGATAGTCGTTATCGATAATAATCACTATGAAGCACATGTTTAAGCCAATGCGTCAATCATTCATCATGCTATATTATATACTTTACTGCATTTCACTCGCAGTAGGCTTTTACATGCAAACAACATCAACACTGTGGATTCATTGAACTCGCATAATCTTAGTCCGAAAATTAGATAGAGCGTATAGGCATAAATATTAATAAATGTGCTTAAATATTAAATATTAGAGTGAAATACTTAAATATTAGAAAGTACCAATAGTATTAGAATTGAAATGGACTGAAATTATGAAAAGCATTAGCTATTCGAAATATATGTCTGATGACGTCGTTTTTGACCGATCTTTCTCCAGCATTAAACAGAAATTTCAAAGAATTTATCGTGAATTTTGCCACGAATCTATCTAAAAGGTTAAATGACCATCATAAGGTCCGATAAATCATTTTCATATGCAATATTTTTATGTAAATTGATCGTTTAAAATGTTCTGCAAAGTTTAAAATTTCATTTTCTGCAAAATATTGTTGTATTATAACACCATTGTTTTCCTTAATTTAAATCCACCATCATCAACTCAACAATTCAGCTATTTTCCCTCCCCCTTCGGCTTCTACGCCTTCAACAGAAGGCATTTGGGAATAAAATATAGGTGAGCTAGTTAGATTTTCTTGAAACGCAAGTTTGGCCCTGGAATAGAATCCCATCTTTGGCACTCCGAAATGAGAATAACAACTTATTCTACTCCTCTCCAATTATTATTGCCAATTTGATGCTTTGATTACTTGACTGCTTGATCAATGATTGCTAACACCAGAGAGCCTACAATATTCAACTATGCGATAGACTGGATAATGGATAGCGCCTGTCGGCACTCAAGAGGTGTCCAAATCAGTCTAGAGCATCGTATCACAGATCTTGAATACGCTGATGAACTAGTACTTTTTGCTTTCTGTTATGATGAAATGCAAATAATACTAAATAATGTGTCAGCAACTGCAGTAAGAATCGGACTCAGGATAAATAAAACGAAAGCCTTTTTGCCTTATGCGCAAGAAGCTGATAAAATACCTCCTTTCGTAAATTCATTGCCGGTTGAGGAAGTGCCCGATTTTAAATACCTTGGGTCCACTCTAATACCAAATGGACAGGCAAAAGATGATATTATAGCCCGGAACCACGGCAGCTAGAAATGCGTTCTTCCGGTTGACGAAACCTTTATGGAGCCGCCATGAAATTACCATTAAAACGAAAATCCATCTATATAGTCGTGATCCATTCGATCTTGCTATATGGTTCTAAGATATGGCCAGTGAAAGTGGAGGATTAAATTATCTGCCTTTGACCACTCTTGTCTAAGGTACATATTATGGATCCATCGAGCGGACAAGATAAGATATTGCATGATCGCATCCACCTTCGTTCAAATACACTTGCATAAATAATGTTAAATAAATAATTTATCACAGTGTGGCGCCTTCGCTGATTACCATCGTCCACCACAGGATTTGACGCATTTCGTTATTTGCTAAACCAAGTGATGGCTGGCGTCAAAAGCGAAGTGGGCCAATGAAGACCTGGACTGATACGGTCAGAAAAGGTTTTGAACATATAGATGGATGGACCAGCAATATATGGACGATGGAAAAAGGAATGGCTTCTATTACTGTCTACGATTGCATATCAGACCGCGCCGCTTGGAAGTGTCTTACCCTTGTAACCGTTGGAGCAAGCTTGGCATACAATAGTAAGAGCTATTAGAAGAAGAAGAAGAAGAACAGCAGAGAGCGGTGCTTGGTTTCTTTGTATGGAAAAAATATGATCTCTTTCTGGTTTTCGCTTTCTCATCGCAGTGGAACATAAAAAGAAATAATAAATATGGCCAAATAACCTTTAGAAATTATCTTAACATGAAGACAATTGATTAAAAAAACATAGAAAACTGAGCAGAAAGCATAAAAACAAACTCAGCAAAGATTTTCCAGATTCATCCTAAAGAAAAAGCGCCTAAAAATTAGTTCTCCTAAAGTTTATTGCATAACCAAAATTTATATAAACTATACCTCTTTATTTTAAAAATCATAAATTTGCTAAAAACCCTTATTTTTTCGAGAATTTTCAAGACTCTCATCCTTGTAGCCAAACCAATCAGCTTAACCAAATAAGAACCATCTCGTTCCTTGTATATTTCTCAAATTTTAAAAGTACTCGTCATTACCTCAACTTTATTGTTTTTTTTTTCATTTTTCCTCCTATTTTCTAATAGAATTAATCGATAATGTTATCTTAGAAACACGAATAATGGGAATAAGTCGGTTAGTCGACGGAAGATTTAAAGTGGTACTAAATTTAGAATATTTTTATTTCTTTGGCTGAAAACCACTCAATATCTATGATATGCCAGCAGGATAGAAAGATAGTAAGGTAGCCAGAATGGCGATGGCATAGAAACGCCACTCACTGCTATCAAGTTTATGAGAAAGGCATAAAATTTTGAGAATATTTCAATTTATGGTTCTATGATTAACTGTTTTGGGCATTTAATGGACATTCAATAATTAACATACAAAATCATTAATATTTAAAATTTAAAAAAAAATTTTTTTATTTTCATAGCACAGAAAGTAAGGATATAACCACTAAGTAATCAGTTGTGGAAAAAATTCAGGCTATTTACAGTTTTGATTTCCACCTAGCTCGAACTTCGATGTGAATAGTTCAATAATTATCGAATAAATGTAATCTGGAAAAACAGATAGCGTACTGAATACATGCAAAATACGACTGTGAACGTAAGGCATACTTCGTGATAAGCTTATGATTATATTTTTTTATTTGATGCAATAAATTTAGAAAAATATGAAATAAAAGTTGATGAAAAGTATAAATCGATCAGCTAACGGGCAAATTAGAGTAACTTATTACAAGACTAAAGTATATGAAATAAAGATGTATCAAAGTTGTAGTAATTTTTTTCAAGAAGATAAATATAACATACTCCATTGTCACATGAACGAAAAAAGTGGAAAAGGTTAAAACGCATTAACTGCATAAAGGCGGTTCTCATAAAGCAGTGAAATATGAATGCATGAATATTTATGATAAATGCATGCATACCTGTTGGTGATGTGAGTGAACTGATTCTTGTTGTGATGGTATATCGGCACCATAATCATAGGTTTGTTGAATACCTTCATCAGATGTGCAATAATTATCATTACTCAAATAGTGGTTCAAATGATCGCTTCTTGAATGGTAATGGTGATGTTGATGATTATCATTATTCATAATATTATCATATCGATTCATTCGATTATTATCACCTGAAATCAAAATTCATTAAATGTGATATAAATTTAGTCACAATCAACTGACGAATATTCTCATATATTTTTTTAAATTTTTTAACACAATAAATTACTCGATTTACTTCTTCAAAATGCTATGTTTCTTAAATGCTAATAGAGGTATTCCACTGTTTTGGACAAAATTATTATTATTACAATTGAAATATTGAGTAAAAAGAAAATTTCGGCATTAAATTAAAATACTGAATTCGATAAATTTATCATTCAAATGACAATAAAGCGTCGCAGCATTGTCCATCATTATTTGCATTTATAGCTTATTTTTTGAAAGGCTAACAATATGTTTAAAAATTATAAAAATATTCCATCTGAATTTCTGTATTCATTCGGCGAAAACTTTTATTGAACTAAATTATCAAATCTATAAAAGAATAAAACAATGAAAGAATTCATGCAAATCCAATTGAATGAGAAAAAATTAAGAAAAAATTGCTGAAAAATTCACTCAAATTCTACTTGAAATTTTTTTAAAGAAAATCTTTAAGTTCCCTATTTATTCTTAGCAAAAAAAAAAATTGATAAGTTCATTTCATTTTATTTTAATTTGGATACATTCATCATTATTTGTTTATTTTTTCAAATTAAAAATTTTTTTAAGAAATTTTTTTTATATATAAATAGAAAATAAAGAATTTTAATAAAGAAAAAAAAAGACTTTTTAAGAAAAATAAAATAAAATTTTTGAGTAAAAAAATAAAAGGAAAATTTAAAAATAATAAAAAATAATGAAAAAATAATAAAAAAATGATGGGAAAAAAATTTTTTCATTACATTATTTGCCAGCAAAAAAAAAAAATTATTTTTAAAGGTGAGCAGAAATTTTAAAGGACAAAATCAGTGACCTTGCACATCCTTTTTTTTCTCGAATCATTTTAATTACTTTTAGTGATTTAATAAAATAAAAAAAAAAAGTTGAAAATTTAACTTATATATAAGTTTCATCAAAAATTTCTAGTTGATTTCACTTTTTTTTTTCAATAATTATAAGATTTTAGGTTTATTCGTTGAAGAATTTTATGTTTCATGAATATTTGATAAATGATTATACTGGTGATAATGGATAATAATGATGCATACGTAACATATATCGCCGGAATAACGTAGTGATTAAGGAGTGCAAAACAACAGTTCGAAGCTCAATCCAATCCTCTCTACCTTCCGATGAGAGTCGTTGGGCGAGATCCTCTGAAAGCTTATCTGCCATAACCCAATCTCGCAAACCCCTGGTAGAGGGTTGAAGGCGATTCATACAACTCACAGAGGGGATTTCATATATATAATACATAGATATATACATACATACTATTGACAGCAAATAAGTTTTTGTACTGTCTAGACATAAAACGTGTCATTCATTGCTTGATATATGTTAGTAATTTATTTCACGAACTTTTTCAACTTTTCTAGCGTTCATCTAAAGAATTAAATTTTATTCTAAAATTTTTTTTAAAAAATCCATTCGAATTTATTTAATGAAAAGTGAAAAGTGATATGATAACGAATTGAAAATTAAGACCACCACTTCTCAAAACTATCTAATGATTTTTTTTAAAATTGGAATTATAAATTATTCCAATATTTTAATATTTATTAATATTTAATATTTAAATTTCTTAATGAATTAGGTTGAATTAAACTAAAAATAAGAGGTGTGCAGAAAAATTTCCTGATTTTCCTTATTCGAGTGGTAGAAAAATTTTTGATTGAAACTTTTTGCAAAGCAAATTTGCTAAGAACCATTCATCCATCTGTTCGACTAGTTGTTACACCATCCGTCTGACCATTCGCCTGACCAACCATGCATCCATCCGCTCATCCATTCGTCCGTCCATCCATCCATGCGCTAAGTAAAACAACCGATTATAAAAATTTGTCAAGAAGTGAAAACTTGTTTTTAAATGACTTCAATAACGATTGGAAATTAATTAATTAGAAAGTTTTTACTTTTTTCGAATCGATTAATCATTCATTTTACAAAAAAAATAGTGAAATTTTTGCTAAAAGTAATTATCAATGCATTTAATATGTGTAACATTAAAGGATTTAATTGAATTAAATAATAATTATCAAAATTCAACATGAAAAGATTTCCTTATTATTCTTTTTTTCCTGTAATTAATAGTAATTTTTTTTCTAAGAGCGCTCACTATTTCTGGTTGTAGTCGTTCAGCTGGTTCTTCAGACCAGGCAAATCTTGTCAACGAGTCACTCGACAACGAAGTACAAGGGCTCGCCAGCATCATACGGATTTTTATGAAGAACAGGTTTACTCCTGCCGGGAGGCAGAATCTCAACATCGACGCTCAGAAATGTGAGCAGTAATCCACTGAGCCACTCCACCACCACAGTTAACAACATTATTAATACACAAAGACTGTACATATAATATTTGAGATTTAAAGGCAATAAATAATACACATTTTGTCTTGAATAAGAAATTTGTTGGCTTTGTTTTCGAGTTATATTTATCAAAGCAAATATCTTGTTGGTAAAAATCAGTTTATCGTTTTAATCATTCAAATCATCTTCGATATAACTTTTAGAAAAACCTCTCTAAGTGGCCAGGTCGGTTTAAAAAGCACCTTTAACACTCTTTTATTCCTTTTCAAAATAATCTTAACGCGAAACATTAGCGCTTGCCCCAGTAATTATTATTATTATTTGGTATATCGATTCTTATATTATATGAAAATATTCGAACTTATATAATAACAAATAGACAATGAATATATATATATATAATATATATATATATTTATACTGATATATGGCAAATCTAGAAAAGTGGCTCCAGCAAATTCCAGAAACAACATCAGAGATCTCTATCTGGTAGAACTCACTGCTAGGGACAGCTAAGATGCTACGCAGAATCTTTAATTTGCCAGGCCTCTGATAGAGGACCAGAGGTTGAGGATGATCTTTGTCAACCCACAAAGGGCGATAACGGAAATTTATAATGTTGCTATATAATAGAATATACAATAGAATGGCATTTTTCCAAACATACAGCTATTATTACTTGTAATAAAACGACAGTAAATTTGTTTGTGCCACCGCAAGCTTTTTCTATTGGACTGCTTTTTTGAAGAATTATTGCACAAAAAATTGAAATAAACCTTCCTTTTTTTAAGAAATTAAAACATCATCAATAAAAATGAACAGATAGTAAAAACCTCATAAATGAAGCGGTGATATGCAATAGTATAATGTATAATGGATGGATTTTAGCGCGCAGCCGTTTTTTCTAAACTTTTCCAAATCCCGAAAGGTCGAAAAAAAAGCGTTTTAAGAAAACACTTCTAATATTTTGGTAGAATAATTGCAAATTGTTCAAATTTATAAGAGTAAAAAAAAGAAAAAAAATACCTACCGCATCTGAATAAAATGGAAAAATAGCGTATAAAAAGCAGATAAAAGTAAGATTGAAGTAAAATTAAATGCAAGATAATATAATAATTATCTATATTAGTGTGTATGTGTCCAGAAAATAAAAAACTCATCCATATTTTCTCCAAAAATTTATCCCATCTCAATCTCTTTTAAATAGGCCCTCTACCACTCCTCACGAGTATAATCTTTTAGATCTTTCTCTACTATTTTGCCTCATTATCATTATCATTATTTGATCATTTGAAATCTTAATCACGCTATCTTAATCATTTAGATAGTATAAGAGCATCGAGACGAGCTCTACAGAATCGCCTATAATCCTCCTCTTCATCTGTTTATAAATCTTTCAATTTTCATCAACAAACAAATTGACACTTTCTTTAAAAGTATCAGGTAATGAGGTAAAAAGAAAGAAATGCTATTGTAAAACTTCGAACTTTTGCGTCATGTTAGTGTCATGCTGAGGTGTCGGTATCTTGTTGTAGGCTTTTGTAACAATCCACAATTACACCATAAAAACTGGTTCGAAGTACTGGTCTGATTTAAACTCTTTAATATCCACTAAAGCCGCTTTCTATTGAAAACCCTCCTAAAACCCGTCAAATTCGCAACATTTACCTTTTTACAATGTTACGTTACGTCGATGGCAGCTAACATTTGCTATTACAATTATAAATTATAAAATTAAAAGGACATGACGGTGCATAGAAAATTCTGGGAATGGGATTAATAGAGTAATAAGGTTTCGAAGATATGTTATGCCTCGCTAGTGCGTGCAAAAAAATAATTTTTTCCAAAAACTAATCCTTTTCTTCCCAAGTCTACCTAATTTTACCAAAAATTCCTTTTAATGCCTACTTAATAATCATAATTCTACAATCTTAGCACTAAATCCGGTCATTTCCTTTTAGAATTTACTTCAGCTAAAAGTTATCCTGCATAACTGTCCATATCTTTTAAGCTCTAATCTAATTATTTCCTCGAAACTTGCCATGATCCTAATGGTTGTTGTGGTCGCCTGCCCCTAGCTGGGGTAAACTTACCATTAAAAAAGGCAAGCGATGTTGTGGACCTATTTCTTCTTTTATCCCTAAGTTTCATGCATACTTTAAAAAAAAGAATTAAATAAATGAGAAAAGAGGTAAAACTGAACTAAAGAATTGTGAAAAATACCTTTTTTTTTCGTTAAACGAAAAAAAAAGTGACGAAGAACAGAATAGAATAAGAAGAAAGACATATCCTTAGGCAAAAAACACAGCTCGCTTTCGTTAATTTCAGTTTAAAGCCGAAAGAATGGTAATTAAAGCTTTTATCATTTATATCATGACAATCAAATGCTCAGGATGATTTTAGGTAGTCATTTATTAATCTTTTGCCAATTCTTTATTACTGTTAGAATTTCAAAAATGACCATAAATTTTTTAAATATCAAATGCAAGCTTTACGCTCGAATAACTTATTCGATTATATATATATATATATATCAATCGAACTTCAATAAGAGCACGATTTCTCGCCAGCATGGATAGAAATTAATGATTTAACAAATTC